ATCCTGATTTCTGCAGAAGTATTGCACACAGCACACTGAGAAGTTAAAGCTGTGCAGGCGGACAGAACGTCATCAGGTTTCATTTTTGTCTATTAAAGGACACATTCATTCTTTCCACCCACATGTAAGTTACAATCATTTATTTCTGGGCTACACCCACAGCCTTAGATTGCTGAGGTCCAGTCCCTTCATCTAAAGCAAGGAGAGGATTTCTCCAGGTAATATCCCAAATTCACTGCCCAACGTGGGGTCACATTACCTACACTATCAAGACCTGTATCACCAAAATTTTTTGGTACCCTATTATGAAACAACAAAAGACCATTCATGACATGACAAACCTGCTCGAATAAGTGGTTGAACTCTCATTGGAAACACACTCAACTCTTGCCTTTCCCTGCATTTCTGCCCCAGAGTGGTCCTCTTGTTTCAGCTGGGAGGGAGACGGGAGCACATAGCAAGACACAGGTCTCAGCTTCCTGCTGCCATCTCTCTAGACTACTTCTTTCTCTTCATTGGAGGACCCAAACAGGGCAGCAGCATCCGCTTAGTCTCTCCAAACAGAAGATAAAGGCGTATCTAACCTTAGGTTTTTTATCTCAGGTTAAACCTTTGCAACTGGGCTACAGTTTGAAAAACTCTCAGAGAAAAAGGTAGCTGGTTATACAGGGCTGCTACATCCTTGCAGAAGACCTTTGTAGCCCAAGGATAAGACACGAGCCTCACAAGCCTGCACAGAAGATGTCACATGACAAAAACTTTAGTCCCTTAAGTGCAATTGCAGCAAAAACAAAGGATGGATACACAAGAAGTGTAGCTGGAATTGTAGCTGGACACCGTCAAGGAACATAGCCCTCAGTGTATCTCCCCATTTCTTGTGCCTAATGAGAGACTGTGCCCAAACACGTGCAGTGTTGATACCGTTTCTATAAACGGAGGCCACTGAAAGGCACGATGCACGTACCTGAACCCTGCACAGCTCAGGGAGAGGTTTCTTCCCAGAGATCAGGGATTGTTTGCCTACTCAGAGTCAGCAGAACCCTGAGACGTCATCACAAACAGGAGGAGAAAGGACCAGGAGGAGGCTCAGGGTTAGTCAAAACCTTCCTTGAGAAACTCATTAAGCTTCATATAGCATCTACCCAAGTGTTTTCATCTTGGGGTATAACAAGATGTGGGGTGCAGAGGGTACTGCACAGGTGAGCCTTTCTCCCTGGTACCTCCAGACTGCAGGAAGGGAGCAGGTGGGCTGCTCTCCCGGGCAGTGACAAGGCAGTGTCCCTCAGAGCCCATTTACTTTGCCCCAGGTTTGGCCAAGGGCCACAGAGAAAGGGCAGCAGGAAGGGAAGAGCCTTTGCCAAATGCAGTCAAGGTGACTACTGCTGCGTAGCAAAACCAGTCAAAGAAAGCAGCACCAGGGAGGCCATGGCTTTGTCCCCTTCGGTGCTTTGCAGCCAAATCCAGGCTGAAAGCAAGGATAATAAACCCCAGTCACACTTTCACTGCACATCAGCAAAGCTGATGCTCAAAAATCAACTACAGCTCATCCCCAGAATCCTTAACCTTAAACTAACTGGTTTGCTAAACCAGCGTCCCAGAAAGATGCAAGAAATGTTCCACTCACTGAGGAGCTCCAGCTCCCTCAGGACATCCTTCCAGGCCACCCCATAGACCCAGATATCTGCTCCTGCAAAGAGGAAGGACTCACATCCAGGACACTACAGCTCACACACATGCATCCGAATTATTATTTAAGAGGGAAAATAAAAACAAACCCAAAACCCTACCCTTCTGAACAGGCTATCTTAACCCTCAAAGATATTTGCAGCAATCTGGATACAGTTTTTCTTTATTTCCAGCATGAAGGAACACTGCCAAACAGCCATAAAGCAGAACACAAGATGTTTTAGTATAAAATTCGTTTCCTCCACTACCCTCCCAAAACTATGATAAAAATCTTAACGGAAAGAGATTCTTTAATTTGTCTCTCTCCCACAAAGAACAGGAAGATCTTCGGGAAGCTTGAAGGATATAATCAGAAGTCACAGCACATATTTCTTATCACTGTTTGAACAAGACGTGTTCATTCTTCTGGCAATGCTTTAATTTGATTTTAGCAAACACTCCAAACTTTGCATCGTCATCTCAGCCAAACTGCAGAAGAATCTGGAGTCCCCAAAGGGAATCTCTATCACTCTCATCATTCCCTCCCTCCAGCCGGGAAACTTGGACAAGACTGGACAAACTTGCAGATACCTTCTTCACACCCAATTTCATGCATGCTCCCCCACAAACATTTGTGCACAACGCCTAAAATTCCAGATGTGGAGATGAGGTAGGAAGACACAATTAGATCCAAAGGGTTCCTCTGTTCATCAGCACCTCATGATCTCATTATAAGTGCCCCAACATCTCTCTCCTTTTCATATCTCCTACTCATAAACAAGAATGGATCTCCAGGGTCATCAAGTCCAGTGTTTTGCCAACAAAGAGCTTAATCGTTCTTATAGTCAACCCAGATCAAATACTGGGTTAGATTAAGCTGGAAAAGCGGTTGGGGCAGGTTCCACCTCCAGCCTTTCCGGGCTGTGATTCACTTCACCACTCTCCTCCCCTCTCTCAGCTTTTCTCAAGCTGATTTTGCCCATTTGGGAAGAACTCCTCGTCTCACCACGGCATCCAGCACCGCGCTTGTGGGCACGGGCACTGTAGGGCCATGGGCAATGGTGCGAGCTCACCACCCTGACCACGCAGCCTGCACCAGGGCTTGTGCAAGGGCCGGTTCTCAGGCTGCAGGGTGGAGCAGAGGGCAGAGCTCAGCATCTGCAAGCAGGCAGCAAGCATCCTGGGGTGCCTGGGCAAAGCACCCCAAGAAATGGGCTTCGGATGGGAGGGGACTCTCTGCTCTCCATTCTAAAGTTTTATTTCAATAGGGAAAAAAGATTGACTTCCCTCTTTTTTAAACCCAAACTATAGTCTATACCAAGTTTTTCCTGAGGTAAGGCCACCTTCTGCCCAATACAGCAATAACTAAAATCTAAACTCCAGCAAACACCAGTTGCTACAAATTGCTACTTCTGTGTCCTCACTGAGAAGGGCTTTTTTTGGGGGGTGTTTTCTTTGATTGTTTGCTCTTTCTTTTTTTAAGGAAACCATACCTAATCCAGCATCTTGTTTCCAAGTTTAGGGTGGGCGAGGTTCAGCATCACCAATATATTTTAAAAGAGCATTAACAAGCCACCATCTCTCAAGGTAAGTCGCTAGAAAAGCTGCTCTTTCTCAGAAACAAAGCCAAGTCAATGCTAATCAGTTTTTTTTTCCTCAGCATACCATGCTTCGCTGGAACAAAGTCAGTGTACCATGTTCAAATCCAAGAAGGGGAAAAGGGGGTGTGGGAGGGAAATAAAGAAAAAAAAAAATCAGAGCTAAAGCCTTTTAAAAAATCCTCCCCTGACTGCAAGTGATGAGCAGCATTTAAGCGGAGCGAGAATGCTCCTGAGCGCGTTGCTTCTGACAGATGAGCCCAGCAAGTCAACCACGGGGACTGCACAGCCCCACTGCTGCTATTCAGCGAAAGTTGATCAGATAGCAGCAGACAACGCCAAGCAAACACTTCAAGAAGTGCTCTATCCATTAAGAGTTTATAATTAACCTGGGGGGCGGGGGGGAAAGGAAGAGTCACCAATTCAGGTCTTCTGTGCAGCAGAAGCAGTTAGGAACCGTGCACATTGGGTGTTTGTACCCCCTGCAAAGGGGGACACGGGGAAAGCACGCCAGTTTCAGCTCACCCCTCACTCTCCCTGAGTTGCAAGCCTGCCATCCCAGGTGTGCAAGCCCCAAGTGCGCTTTTAACAGGCTTTTCCTTGCCAGCTATGGCATCTCCTAGCTGTGCTGTCGGCCTTGCAATTCCTATTTTGTTTTCTTTTCCAAGTGGCTGAGCTTCTGTCTGCTTCAGGTCTCCTACCCCATGCCCTCCACTTGAAGTATTTTCACCAGGAATACACACACACACACACACACACACACACACACACACGTGCGCACACTCACACAGAGCAGCTTTTGCTGCATTGCCATTCTGATGAGTGTCAACACAGCTGCTGTCTCCGCTGGAATGTAAACCAATATTGTCGTTAGATCTCCCTCAACCCCAGGTAACTTCCTCAAAGATTTGCACAGTGTGTGGCAATTCTCTCCACTTCCACCTTACAAAGCAGCGACCCAGTGGGTTAAAAGGAATTAAATAAAAAAGCCAATAAAACCAAACAAACAAAAAAACACACAACAAAATCAAAGCTGCATCTGAAGTTTGCGTTCTGCTCGCGCCCGTGTGGTGCAAAGGGCTGTAGAAAGCAAAATGCACCCATTGTACACACTTTCATCCTCATATGTTTAGACGAACACCCTGTATAAAAATATCTTGCTGCTCCTGCAAGTCATGAGGCAAAGCAATAACAGCACTGAGCAGAAGTTATTGGTGTGGACACTAATGCAACATTTACAGCAGAGTACCTTTGTTCACGTATTATTTTACTTAAAAAGGTAATCTAAGAAGGGGTTTATAATGCATTTTTGGTTATTTCCTAGATACCATACACTTTTAACAATGAGTAGCAATTTTGGCAATAAAAGGCTAGTAAATGAGTTATAACGCTGTCAACACAGATACTGTTCAGATTGGTACGGGAACACAATCTGTATGCGTTAGCCACAGTAAGCAACTGCTTTCCCTTGCTTCTCCAATGAAAGAAAATGATGTTTGGCTGAGCAAGGTTCCCAAAGCAAATCTGCTGCCTCAAAAGTAAAGACTCAAAGTTTACTCTCATTCAGATATTTAGCCCAGCAAACTCTGCTTCTCATTGTAAAGTGCCAAAGCTTCAAAAAAACCCAAGCATATATTCCACACCTAACTTCATGACTACAGGGGTGAAGAAATCGCACACGTTCACTAAAAATAAAAATATATTACAGGTATCATAGCTCAAACCTAGAATTCTTACCTCGCTATACTGGGACTGGGCATTGTTTTCCAGGTACAACATGTTAGCAGTCAAATTGATCAATGCTGCTGTTCTTTCTTCTGGCTCCAGGATTTTGACAAACACCTCCCACCCCCTAGAAGACCCTAAAAATACGTGATGCTACTTGGAAGATAACAGGACTCGGAGTGTGCCTCTCCGCATAATTGAAGTTTCCCTTATATACCTAACTATAGGCAAGGAGGAGGAGGTGGGGCTCTCCTGCCTTACCTGTCCAATCTGTCAAAGTGCCACCTGGAGTCCTCCACTCCAATGGAGAGAGGCCTCTCCCAGCTCATTAAGTAGTTAGAATTCCTTATCACCAATCTCTAAAAAGCAAAGGGAAGGGAACAGAAGGGGGGGGCGGGAGGGGAATGAAAAAAAAAGAAGAAAAGAGAGAAAAGAAAGGAAACTATAACTTGCCCCTGTCACTTTTCTACAAGTTTTGGAACTCAAAAGACAGCCATGGAGCTGCTCCAAAGGTGCCGCTCCAAGAAACTTCTATTTATTTATTTTCTGAGAAGACTCCAGTAGTTTTTTTTCAGGCACACGATTTGCTGCTAGCAAAGCCCAAAACATTTGGGAAGGAATCGAGATGCAACTGCTCAAGCAGTGCAGTAACACAGCCGAGCTGCTCTGGCTGCTGCATCATGCAGTTTTGGGACAAAACCCACAAGGAGCTTTCCGAGAAGCAGTCAAGTGTTCCATGCACCGTAATCCAGCTACATTCCCTGTCATCTATGCGCTCTCACCCATGCTCACAGCCAACAGGTCCTGTGGGGATTGGACTAGATGATCCTTTGAGGTCCCTTCCAATCCCTAACATTCTGTGATTGTGTGTTCACAGGACATCACTCCAGCTACGTTTTTTCCCCCTCACTTTTGCAATTGCTTCTAACTTACACGACAGTAACAAGCCTTAAAATCATCTCGCTTAAAACAGGAAACGTTTAAAAAAAAATTAAAAAAGCAACTCATCCAAAGGGACTCATGATTTTGAATTAATATATGGGAGAAGTTGCTGGGCACTGCTCAGTAAAAACCACCTGGACACTACGCCCATAGCAAACTAAGGAAAACGTAGGATCCAGGAATAGCATGAGCCCCGACCTGCGGGAGCACAGAGCGCGCAGAGGGGCGGCCCGGGACGGCCCGGCTGCGATTTCACCCGGAACGAGCAGACAAACCCCCGGCGTCCCGAGCGCAGAGCCCCGGAGG